CCTTTGCATGGCATTTGTCACAAGAGTAGGTAAACACTTTGTAGGGAGAAATATGATGACGCCTCATGGAAACCTTTTAAAGTCATTTCTAACAAATCTATTTGCTACCAGGGCGGCCATTAACAGGTTGCCAGGAGAGAAAATAAAAGCTCCTAGACTGTTTCCATACAGTCTGCACTCGATGTTATTACTATTACATCGATGCCTAGAAATGATAATGGGACGAAGGCCCTCCCCAGCCAGGCACCACCAAAAACCGTACTGAGGGGTCGTCGTGAACCAGCAGACAAAGGGAGTTTTCTTACTCTTGTCTTCATACATGGGAAGTTGAGGGGTATCATATGCGGAGTCACCCTTGCTGCGGCAGCATGGAGGCCTGTCCTCGCCCCCGGCCCTGGATCTTACATCCCCTCAGCATCCTTTTCCCTGCCAGAGAGGGTGTCACGGTCCAGGCTGGAAGACAGGTACCTCCCTGTCCCCACTTCCCCAGGATCACAACCCAAACCCCTTTACCCCTAAATCCCTCCATCCCTTGGCAGCCCCGAGACCCCTCCCAAAACCTCCGCTGCCGTGGCCCCAAGTGCTCGGTGGCTCCCGGGAGGCTCCAACTGAAGGTCTGGCCAAGAGGCAGCAAACCTCACGCTGATGCTGCGGACGTGTCCTTTGGGCACTGTCCCTTTCCACCACACCAGGGTGGCTTTCATGGCATTTTCACTACCACGTGGCCGGGAAAGCCCCGCTCTGGTGCCTCTGCTCTCCAGGATACATCCTTTCTCTCCCTCCCCTGCTCTGCTCCATACATGAATACATTTCTCTCTACATTTTTTTTTTCCTTTTGGCATTTTTTTTTTCTTTTTCCCATTACCCCTTTAATGCAGAGCAGGGCTGCTGATTACAAAAGAGGCAGTTTGACTCGAGCAATAGGTCTTCTTCACTAATCCTCACTGTCACGGAAATTCCAGCTGCTACAAGAATAAGAGGCTCAATCCATATTTGCCAGCTCTAATATGAAATCTGTCAGGGCCCAAATTAATGAGTTCCAAATTCCTTACATCACGATAACAGGTTAAGACTGGTCAATTAATTACATAAATCCTTCCCGATTCATTGTGCGTTTTCCGGCGAGATTGTGTCTTACATAACCGGGTGACACAGGGCCTTTTGGCTCTTGTTTTTCCGCCGAACCGCCTCCATTTGAGCGCAGCCCGCCTGCCACC